CAATGTATCTACCCATTGGCTGTTTATTATATAAGATGTGGGAAACAAGTCTCTGGGGTGTAAGTTCTTATTTAAATAAACTGCACAAATGTAAAAGGCCAGCCTGCCATAAATACACACAGAGCGTGGCAAAGCCTCCTAGCAGTCAGCTGTGCTCAGGTGGAAGGACAGCTAGCCTATGACACCATGCCTCCTGCATTCAGCAGTCCTTGGTGGTGATCACGCTCGTCCCTCTACCTGGAACTACCAGCTCTTATCGCATACACACTCTTTTTTTACTGACCAAAGCTTTCTGAGAGCATTATATAAACAGATAGTAAGCCAAGATAAAATATCGCCAGGTCACATGATTTCTCAACTAAGAGGATATTTATCAAAATGACTGTATCTTTGGTTTGTGGTGTTAAATGATTGCTGATGTAATATGGGTAGCCTGAACATTAATTGTCTGAGGACTGTGTGTAGGAGAGATGTTAGCATGGGAAAGGATTGGGAAACTATTATGGAAGAAATAAACAGGCTGACATTACTGCCAAAACAGCTGACACGGGATGCTAAACCAAACTGGGTAAGAAACGCAGGTGAGTGTGGAGAGACTTGAGGTCTTGAAGGAAAAAAAGAGCTTAATCTTGATATGATTAGAGAAGGAGAACCAGGGAGGTGATTCGGTTGCATAATGTTGTTAGGCTGCTGAAGGAGGCGATTTCTGTGCTTGTGTTTTGTGGAGATAGGATAGCTGGCAGTCATAGCTGGCAGATATCGGAGGGGCTAAAGAGCAGAAAGAGGTAGCAATCAAGCTATTGAGTGATTAGGGCTTGGCAGAAGCTGTCAGACTGTACAAAGTGAGATATTTAATAGATAAAGGAAGAATAAATGGCTTATATTCAAGACTGGGTTCCGGTTATCCTACTACCAGCTTAACAAATTATTATTAGTTTAAGATTGACCGAACCTTTACAGGCTGGGAGCAAAAGAAGAAAAAGCCTTCTGTCCTGAAATCACAGCAGAGGGTGCTGTCTGCCCCCCTCCCCTCTCTCCAGGGTAGCATCAAGCCCTGGCCTCCCTTTAATAACAAAGGGAATGCTGAGCCTGCATGGAAAAGGGGGCAGAGTATCCACAGGAAAGAGGGTGACATAGGGCCTGAATTGGCTGCAAAGGGAGGGTATGTCTAGCTGAAGAAAGGTTGTTTGTTTTGTTTTTCGACAAGCAATAATCAGTTCATTTTCTCTGTGTAATTATTGGTTGTGATTACAGCTCCGATTGCAAAATAACAGGGGGAGAGGGAGCACAGAAAACGAGTACTGCTAAACAGGGAAGAGGGAAAAGCACTGCTTAAGCTTATCAAAACAAAATGGTTAAGTACAGTGCTGATGCAAACAACAGTCTATCTGCACCCTATCAATCTAGAATCTAGTTCTGAAATGAACTGTGACCAGGGTTTAATCATTCTGCTTTAATTATAGGATGATGGTGGAAATGCCCAATTCTTGGGTATGTCTGGAGTGTTGACGAGGCATCTTCTGTCCTTGTATCTTGGGAAAGAGATGGATGTTTGGCTAAATGAGCCCTAAATGTCCTCTGGTTGATGTCTGGGAAAGATCTTTACAAGGATTCATCTGAGAGCACAGACATCGAGGGATATAAGCTCATTAGACTCCCTGTGCCATCTTCTTAAACTGGACTACCATACGCAATGCCATCCATGGCTAGATGCTGTATTGTGGAGTTATGTGATAAAGTGTGGCAACAAAGACCAAGACGAAGAAACGCAAACTTCCTTGACAGGTTGAAGTGTGCCTGCATTGAAGAGTTCTCAAAGTTAACAGCTGCTTATATCTGAACTGAATACAGGCTACACAAGACTGCCCTGCATTTTTACAAGGGTGGATTCTTGCACTGGGTTCTTACAATATTCTTCCCGGTTTCGTTTTTAAGACTAGGATAGCTACAGGTAATGAAGAAGAACACCCGCTGATTCAGAGCAATACTGAATGTTTACCGAGTCTGCAAGGCAAACATTTTCAAGCCTGCAGTATACAGAATCAGAGGCAGGCCATAGCTAAGGGATGGGGACTGGACTGTGGGTAGTAATGACCAAAAAAACCCCTTGAAGACAGGGTAGAAAACTGATTCAGTATGAGCATCCAGTTACAACACTGTGGCTATAGGAGTGAGGTGACTGATGGGTATATGATCGAAGAGAAGATAGATCCGATGCCTGAGGGAGGAGTGAAGATCTAGCTCCATTGCAGCAGGAGGACTCAGATGCTCAATGGTCCAACACTGGCTTCAGCGCAGGGAAGCAAGATTTTTCCAAACCCACAGATGTCACTAGGAAAGGCTGACACAATAGGCCCTGGAAACTTGGGATGTGGAATCTGGTTTCTCCTCCTCACAGG